TTGGGACATTAAAATTAAGTGATTATAGACAGGATGTGATTATAAACAGGGTGATTATAGACAGGTCTGACTGTACTATTATTCCTTAAAAATGATAAAATCGTCGTACTTAAGAAATAATAATACTATCGTCTCTAAGAAATGATAAAATTATTGTCTCTAAAGAATGATAATATATCGTATCTTAGAAATAATAAAATCATCGTATTTAAGAAATGATAATACTATCATTTTTTAGGTATGATAAAACTATCATATCTAAAGAACGATAAATGCATTATACCTTAGGAACGATAAAACTATCGTACTTTAGGTATAATAATACTATCATTTCTGAGGAATAATAATACCTATTGTACCTAAGAAACAATACAATTATTCCAATTAGATATCAATCAGTTATAAATAAGATAGGTCAAATTTTGATATATACCAATCGGCTATAAGTATGCCAATTGACTATAAATAAAATAAGTCAAATTTTAGCTGATTCTTAACTGATTTCTGATGTATGTCAATCAGCTAAACTAATTTTTGATAATTTGCCGAATTTAGACTGATTTTAGGCTGATTTTTGCATATCTGATTTTTTTTGATTTTGACCAGTGATAATTGTAATACAATTTAGATTTTTTTTTATTTTTAAAATCAGACTATTTTCTAAAAGTTTTTGTTAATTTTAATTATCAAAATAAAGCTAAATAATAAAATTATTAAATTATTAAATTTTATATATTAAATGTAAATAATATAAATAATTATATTTTAATTATCTGTTTTATTACAATTGAATATATTTTCAAGTTTATATTCACTAATAATAATTTGAAGTTTACTTTTTTATCATCGAAATTATCAAGTAAAGTATATATATATATTTGACTTGCTTTTGTATATTATTAAATATATTGCTATTTTTTGAATTTTAAAAATAAGAATATTAAGCAATTTTTAACTAATTCTTACAATTTAAGAAATTACTAACTCTAAAGAAGTCTAATCACTTATATAAAATAAGTAACCACTATCAAAAAAATTTTATAATTAATTTGTAAAAAGCAAAAAATTGGCAATTTGATGGAATCACTAAATATAGAACCAGTTTTAAAAATCCAATTCTAATCCTAAAATTTTAAATTTTAAGAAATTCTGGAATTTCAGAAGGGTTTATTATTTACTTTTAGATAAGTTTTATAATAAATTTGTAAAAATAATTCTTTATAATTTTCTTGAAGCTTTTAGGACTGCTTAGGATTGCTTAAAATCCTTACTTAAAGGCTAACCATCTGATGCAAAAAAATTTTTTATATTAAGTATTTATGCAAAAATACATGCTTTTGCTTTTTAAAATTCTCCTGTAATTGTTTGATTTGTGAAAATGCTTGTATAAATCAAATTGCTAAAGGACTTTTAATTTTAGAATAAGCAAGTGCACAAGTTCTTTTTTTCAAATCATTAAATTCTGTATTAGTTTCAAACCAGTTTTCTTTTTCTTAAAATATCTAAGATCAAAAATCATATGGCTTTGCCAAATTTTGGCTGCGGTTTATTTGCATAAATTAATAAATAATTATATAAAAATAATATTTTTGGCCAGCCAAAACCTAAATAAAATTTGGCCACGACCAAACGGCCATAGTCAAACACCGGCCAAGTGCCAACACTGCTATATTGTCGTAATTTTATTTTTTAATAACTCTGGATTCTTCTTGACGTTACCATTTCAAATTTCGCGAAAGTATTTAAAATAACTGTCTCTTCATAAAATAACTTGCTTTTTTTTTCCTAAAAAATCCATTAATACTTTGAAATAATAAAATAAACCTTTCAACTGGAAAAAATTTATAAGAAAAACGAGGTATTTTATATTTCTTAAAGTTATCACGAATTCATTAAATTACTTAAGCATTAATAAATAATACGCAAGGTATTAAATTTTATATATAGTTTAGTTGACAGCATAATATCCAGTATGCGGAACATTTATTACTAAAAAAAATTGCATGATTGCATGATTAAGACAATATTTGGCTGCGCCATTCATTACATGTCTGAACTTTCAAAGTTTAACATTGTCAAACCAGTGACAAATGATAAAAAGAATATGAATCAAGTTCGAAAACCGATAACGTTCTTGAATTTAACTATATCTACTACTCCAAATCGACATTGCACATTAACATTCTTCTTGTGGACTTTTAATTCGAATTGAGTCGTTCGATTACCGAATACCATATGCTAAAAAAAAAAAAATTTTTAATATATAAAAAGGATAAACAGAAGTTTATAAAGGACGAATAATTTTACCTGAACGTTAGGACCTATAACAGTCACAGCCTTAGAAAAACACTTGATCCTGGCTTTAACCGGTTCTATATTTTTTTTTTTAGAAAATACTCGGAAAATTATTTATGTAAGATATAAAATAGGAAAAATACGTTACCATCTTCTGCTTCATTTAATCCATCCCATTCAATTTTTAGAATCAATCTATCTCGTCCAACTTTCTTGAGTTCGCTCGGTTTAGAAAAAATTTGTTTGACGGGCACTGATTCCTCTTTGGAAAGTGCGGTAGCGAATAAAAAGGTTAAGAGAAAGAAAGTTAAGACAAGTAGACGATTCATGTTTTATGGATTTACGAAACTTTTTTTCGGGGAATATAATACTTTAAGGAAAGGTTCATTATTGCATATTTATATCCGAGAATTTTGAGAGACGTGTTTTTCAAAAAGGAGTAAATCTGAGGAATTTCATGAATTATACAATTTGCACCTGATTACACAACTTTGACATGCTATTTCAGTGATCATAATTTTCACATTGGATTAAAGTCCTATAATAAATTTATTATTAAAGGTTTTTTTTTTGTAATTCCGATATAATGCTAAAGTTTAAATTTGCCTTATAATAAGCTTCTCTAAAAAAATTTTTTTCTTTCATTATGTACTGTAAGTTTCACAAAAATCTTCAATAGTAAATTTTACTATATTGACCGCATCCCATTTTCACATGTACAACTAAAAAATATCCGACCACCCGTCGATCATTGCAAATCCTAACATATTAAAATTTGAATTACGCCACAACTAATGCATA